ATAAAAATCTTTAGTTAACAACAAATGCTTGGTTTATGGATATCTTGGAAAACATTCCGAGAGTTAGAACAGATGGACCACCATACTGGCTAATATTTGTCGTCAAACAACAAGATACTGTGAAGCCATACCATTACAGTCCAAAGCTATTTTAGATATCTTAGCAGCTTTGACAATATTCGTTGACAAATACCATCCAAACAAAACTGACATCTGACTGTGAAAGTTCTTTCAAATCAGATGATGTAAAAAACTATCTGCGTTCAAAAAATGTAAACCAATATTTCATTGTCGACCAAAACCATTCTGCTCTTGGTGTCATTGACGGTTGTATAAAAAATGTTAAGAGACTTAAACCAACCACAAGGTGGTGAAGCAAATGAAATGTCATATGACGACAAATATAGACACTTCTCCCAGGCAAAGATGAGACAAGTTTAAAATATTTACAATAGCCGTAAACAAAAAGGTTTGGGAAACCACTCCCCGAGAAAATGAAAACAACCCTGACTTAGAGAAAGACTATATATTTAATAATTTAGTCAAAAGAGACAAACAAGAAAGAATGCCGGGCTTCAAACTTCAGAAAGGTGACAAAGTAAAAATAGAAATACCTAAACGCGACCCATATGAAAATACTATTGACTATGACAACAATGGGAACCCGACAGGTACTCACATTCGTGTTCGTAAAAATAGAAGAAAGTATACAAGAGAATATTATGAAGTTTTAGGCAAACATGGCAAAATGTACACACTGCAAGCAGAAGATAAAACTACTATTGTCAGACCTCGTTTCAAACTTGTCAAAGTTCAAGGTGGTATACTTTCAAAGACAGTTCCTAACAAATATAAGACAACTCCTGAACGAATATGCTAAAGAAGTTGAAAATGACGACTAAGCAATTCTATACCATGCGTAAACTGTCATGTAAGGTGGCATGTATTCTTTACTTTGTCCCGTTGTTTGCGTATATCCTGAAACGCGATGTGTATGGTTTCCACTCCCTGAGTGTTACCCCAGAAACAATTTATAGCAAACTGAACGTTGTCTTTAACATCATATCTTTTACCTTTTGTCATTGCCGACCAATCCCAAATTTATGCTTATGCCAACCTGCTTGAGATGTACTTAAATCTATGTAGTGACTATGTGCAGGTAAATTTTCACTTGAAATCGTTTTACTTCCACCTGTTCCTTTGAAGAGTTTGCACAATACAAAAACCTGTCGACTATTTGAGTCCAAGTTCCAAAACCCAGAACTGTTTCTGGTCTGGTAGAGTTCATTGACGTATAAATAGAACCTATAGGATATAATGTTTGAAGCATTTCTGTCTTTAATGTTTGAAGCTCTGTTTTGTCTGCTTTCTTGTCATTAAATCTTGAGCAGTGAATTTAATATTATGTTCATCCTTCATGAATAAACATCTTTACATCTAATGTTTTTCATCGTCGTTATGTCGTCATCCGATGTTAAACCTTGTGGAAAGTAGGAGGTTTACAATATATTGCATCCCACCAGTTTCTTCAACCGTTCCTTCAATACTTTCTATAGCAACAGTTGTAAAACTTGTATGTGTATGGTTCTTGTCTGCTTTCTTTTCAAGGCTAACGTTTAAGTCTGTTATTTCAGATATAGAATGTGTATGTCCAACGGCACTTTTCCTGTTTAAGGTTTTCTGTAAGTTTGTTTATTTCAGATATAGAATGTGTATGTCCAACGGCACTTTTCCTGTTTAAGGTTCTTGTAAGTTTGTAATATTTGCAATGGTATGTGTATGTCCAACGGCACTTTTCCTGTTTAAGGTTTCTTGTAAGTCTGTTATTTCAGATATAGAATGTGTATGAGTCTTTTTAGAATATTCGTTTTCAGCTCTTGTCATTCACTTGACATTATTTGTCAACATATGTTTTGTCTGCTAGTTCAGGATGAGTATGTTCTTTTGTTGCATAAGCATTGTTAGCTCTTTCTTCTTCTTTTGCTATTGCATCGTCTACATATTCTTTGTCAGCTTTGTTGTCAACATCTGCTTTCAAAAGAAGTTCATTTATAGGTTTCTCGTTTAAAGTTCCTTTTGTTGGATTTATACAGACAGTATGGTTCTTATTGTCTTGAAACAGAAACTCATCTGTCATTGGGTTTAATGTCAGTTTTAAGTTTCCTTCTTTCAATGACTCAGATATCTTAGAATAGTTTGAAAAGTTTGTTGTGTTCTTATTTAGAGCTTGCATAATGAGTTGTCGGTTGTGTTGTATTTCTCTTATGGAAGCAATATCTTTCGACATTTTTATTCTAGATAAAATATGCTTCCAATAGAAAAAGAAAATTCAAGAGTTGCTACAACTAAACCATTAGATGAACTTTTTACAATGTCGGTCAAAAGTTTGAGACAGAGACCGTAAAGCATGAAGGCTATTCGTTTTGACTACCCATTAAGAGGCTAAGAGACCCATCTGTCACAAAAGCTATTGGCTTTCGTAGAATGAAGTTTGTGTCTGTAGAAGATAAAAGTTTTCCATTTATTGTAAGGTTTCATATAGATTATATATCTGAAGGGAAACGAAAAATGTGGGAAGAAATTGAGCTAATACAAGTTGACCTTTCATCTTCTCTACAGACTGCGTTAAAAAATATAGAAGATAAAATAAATTCATGTTATGCAAAATATGCTGATGAATATGCAAATACCGAGAGCACACTTTATGTGAGAATTGTATAGACAAACAAAATTCACAAGTGTCATTTCAAATCTACGAAGACAATCCAAAGAAAGACGAACAAATATATACAGAATTCACTGCAATGTCATGGTATTATTTGCAAAGAATGTTAAATCAGAAAGTCAAACTTCCTTTAGCAAATATTTACAGTCGATATGCAAGAGATGAACATATTTATTTAAAGATGTTTTCGACCCAGCTGCTATTATTGTTCATGCTTCATTTCTGGCGCTCAAAACTCTTTCTTATGCTTGGCAAATGACTTTTACGAAAAACCTACAAAGTTATATGAACCACCAAGTGGAAGTATTTCAGACTTTCAAGTATGGTTTACTACAGATGGAAGAAAAAGAATAATTCCATTATACCATGCGTTTTACTTAGAACTTAGTTTCATATACAACTACTATCGAACGGTAAAAATATAATTTTTTAATACGGTTGAGGTGTTGGATTTGGTTGCCAACTAGACTGTGGTGCAGGTTCAGGCTGTTGTATAACAGGAGCTTGTTCTTCTGGTTCAGGGTCTTTAGGTATAATACCAACAAACTGACCTACTTTTTACCAATATTTTTGACTCCGTTCCAAATTCCTCTTCCTACGGTTTTTATTCCATTCCATATACCTCTTCCAACATTTCGAAAGAAGTTTCCTATCTTACTGAAGAAACCCATTTTACTATATGTAAAAATCTAATGTCCGCCTAGTCTCTTACGTTCCTGTTGAGTTCCATACATTCTTTAACTGGAGCTCATACATTCTGTTTCTCCTCTGGTAGAAAACATATTCTGGGTCAACTCCTGTGTTCGCGTCATCTGCATAAAGTTGTTTATATCCCACTTCAGGGTTTGTATAAAACTCTTTCCATCTCATATTTGCATACCATGGTGGCAAACCTAACGCAGCGTCATTTGACATGGCAGTTTGCATTTGTACATCTGTTGGCACTTGACCATAGTTTGCCATTGCAGTTTGTATTCTAACTTCATTTGGAATATTCTCTGGGTTTGGTTGTCCAGGTTGCTGTGCATTCGCTAAGTTCTGTGCGTCCATTTAATATTAGATAAAAATATCTCTTACGAGTACATATGCTGAACATTTGCAGGCATTGGTTCATCTTCATATTCTCTGTACTTTTCTGCCACGTCAAAGAAATAAATGACACAATGGAAAAAACCTAAAACAAGTAGTCCTATTTCAAACCACATTTACTTACTAATAAAATTTCTTTGTTATGACACTTTCTCCAGTTTATAGGACCTCTCTCATATTCTATCTTGTCATATATAAACTCATAGTCATGTATGTCCTCTAACCATCTCATAACGGTTTCCAAACCACTTTTATCGGATGTAAAGTAAAAGCATGGATGGTTATGTATAACGTCTAAAGTTTCTAAAGAGTCTCTCAAAGTCCAGTCTACTTGGTATTGAAAATCCCATGTGTTATAGAACGGCGGGTCCACTATAAAGAAAACATTTTCCTTGTCTTTATATTTTTCATACAAATCTGTCCAATGACATCTCACAAACTCTATACCCTCAATATATTTTTCTATGTTCTGTTTGAAAACATTTGTATAGTTAAGATATAAAACTTTTGACATAAGTGTTTCAATGTCATGAACTCTTATAGAACCACTATATAATAGTCTAGCAGATATACTATCCCAGTCTATATATTCTGCTTTTTTCAAAACCTCTCTCACAATATTTTTCTTATCTAATGGTATACGTTCCATCTTACCTATAGGTATCTTTTCTTTTAACTCTTTCAATATGTTGTTTGTGTCTGGAATATGTTTGAGACGGTCCATATAGTTGTCGAAGTCATTGCATATAATCTTTGAGTCTGGGAATATTATATGACATAAATGGGATATATAGAAACTTCCACCGAACAAATCTACAAATGTTAGACCATTCGGTAGTTTCTTAAGTTCTCTCAATATAATATCTTTACATCTACTCTTATTTCCAAAGAACGGTAACGGTGGTTTTGTAAAATTCATTTATATATATATAAAAATGTTTTTTACCTGAAAAGTGACAGAAAAGTGACAAAACATGAAAACATATATAATTTGTGAAAAGCTCCTGGAAGACCCGTATATATAAGAACTTCATTTATAATAATCATCTTCAGGGCTAGAAGGCACGAAGTGCCTGGAAGCCCCACTACCTTTTTTTTTTTTTTTTTTTTTTTATTTGTATGTGATATTAAGAAAGTAGATTAAAGAACTATGTAACATCAGTTAAATTTTTCATAAAAAGTGACAATGACTCAAGAAAATCCTCCTCCAGCTGAACCAGATACAATAGAACTAATTGATCCAGTAAGTTTCTCTATTACTGGTTCCCAATATGAACTTTTTATTTCTCGATTTGATTCTTTGAATCTTGAAGAAATAAAAATCGAATATGATGAAAAAGGAATATACGTTGGATGCGATACATGCCCATTTTCATTCATATGTGGATTATTTAAACCAGATTTACACATAGATCAAGTCGAATCTTCTCAAAATGAAAAAACAATTAATATCAAGCTAAAATTCAAAGAAGAATTGCAAAGGTTGGATATACTTGATGCCAAACCATGGAAAGATCATACACCAGATCTTTTCACAATTGCAAGAGACGATTTTCCTGATCTTGACACAGCAAGGAAACTATCAAAAATCATTATCGAATCAAGATGGATCTCACCAATCTTAGATCTTGTCACATTTCATATCAAACTTTTACCATTATACGATTTATTCGTCCCAGCAATGGAATTAATCGTTGCAAAATACACACAACAACCAAAATTACTATTGGCATACATGTACTACAAAATGAACATCAATGGCGATATAATTATAGTTTATTGCAGATCAGCTAAAAATTCTAATATAATAGCCTCCAATTTACTAGGAATTTGCTTGTCGCCTCTTTCTACAATTAAATGCCATAAGAATCTCATTGCTTCTATTGGTTATTTGAAAACTTCAATTATTCATCCAGATCAAATAGCAGGAGAAGATGCAATTTACGAATTTTGTATGCTACTTTACAACGGACTCGGAATGAAGAAAGATAAAGAACTCGCACAGAAAATTTACAATAATCGTCTTCAAAATTACCAAAGAAAGCTTATAAGGTGTTCAACCAATGCTTTTAGTGCAGCATTATCTATTTTGGGATACACAACGTTAATTACTGCTGGATTATTCGCTTTTTGTTATATTTTCGACGAAAAACCATAATTATACGAGCTTACTACGAAAATTGACAAAGTATATACTATAGCTATCTGTTTGATCATAATAAACTTTTTAATTAAATTTTCAAATAATTTTTCATATTTTTTTAAATAAAAGTTTCGATTTAGAAGCCCTTATATTTTGTAAAGTGGATTCTGTTGCATATAAATGCTCAATGATCATCAGAATTTAACATTTATGAGCATTTTATATACATATTTTGATTAAGGACTGCAGTTGTGGAGATCGGGTATTCTAATGACCCACATGTAGTGCGTGTATAATTGAATTCAGTTCAAAAAAATTTTAATATTTCAAATAAAAAACAAAATTTATACGGAAATTATTATTGAATTTATGCGATCATTTAAAATTCCAAGTATTTTTATCAAATTAGAATAAATTTTACACCCCAAAATAAAAATCCCATACCCCAAAAATAAACAATTTTTTTTTCAAAGAATGAAAGCGCATTCGCCACAGGATGAAGTATATGGACCACTTAGCATTCCAGCCTATTGCTGGCCCATTATAGATACTCCTGAATTCCAGAGAATGCGTCATATTCCTCAATTAGGAACAACATCGTGGATTTATCCAGCTGCAACACACTCTCGCTTCGAACATTCATTGGGTGTTGCACACCTAGCTCAACAGTTCATGACACATCTTAAAATAAACCAACCAGAGTTAAATATTAAAGAAGAATGGGAGCATGCAGTCGTTATTGCAGGTTTATGCCATGATATCGGTCACGGACCATGGAGTCACTGCTTTGAAGCTGTTGCTCATTTATTTGACCCAACTTGGGATCATGAAGATAATTCTGTTCGTATTTTAGAAAATATGATCGACAAATACAAACTTCCTCTTCCCAGATACATCTACGAGGCAGCCTGCAACTTTATTCGAGGCGAGCCTTACGAAAACTTCCCAGTTTGGACTTCCCAAATTATTGCGAACCATGTTACAGATATTGACCTCGACAAGCTCGACTTCATCTCGCCCGCCGATATGAAAGAAATTCCTTTCAGCCAGATTCGATACAGAAAGGCTCATTTTCAACTGTAGAATAACTCAAGGCGAATTAACCTACAGAAAATCAGAAACGACCACAATCGAAAGGTATTCTTTAACAGAATCGATATGCACAGGCGCGTCTACCAGCATCGAGTAAATCAAGCTCTTTCTCTTATGATTACGGATATGCTCAAGGAAGCGGAACCGCACTTGGAATATCAACGTCACTCAATGACCCGAACGAATTCATCAAATTCGATTGCAGATCTCTTATATCTCATAGAACGAGGAAACTGCGGAAAGAAGCTCAGAAAATAGCCAACGACATTATTACTCGAAAATTCTACAAATGCATTGGTGAAATTAAAGTTCATCCAACAAATAAGGATGGAATTCAATATTCCCAACGCCCGTCAAATTCTATCGAAGAAGACATCGCAGAATACTCTAACGAGCACGGTAAAGGCTGAATCGCTTCGCGTTTGCAAGCTGAACTTCAGATACGGCTTGGATAATGAACATCCACTTCTTAAGGCGGATTTATACAAATGACAGAAATAACATGATTAAACTTGATAAGAGCGAAATCAGCTGCATTATTCCAGCTTATTTCAAAGAAACTGCTATGATGGCGTTTGTTACTGATCCTTCCCTCATAGGTGTGGCCAAGAAGGCCTTCGAAGCATTGAAAGATGCAAAGGCCTTGTTTAAAATCGAAATAAACTATAATTTTTGTATTTTCAAAAAAACACATGATTTTTATATCAATTTGAATAATGTATCGTTATCATATTGATCTTTTTCTACTCTTTCTTAAAATCACCTCAGAATATTTTCAAAATCAATTTTATTATAAAATTATGGCTTGAATCTCTAATTACGGATTACGCTGAAGATGGTAATGTTACCATAAACAATTCACATCACATTCTTCCCAAAGTTTTCAAGTAGTAGGATATGATGGGTTTGTGACTTTTTTTGTAAACGTAAAGATTCATACAATATCGAGCGATTTTGTATCATTTTTTTAAACATATGAAGTAAAAAATGTATGATCTTACGGTTTTTATTCTTACGTTTTTGAATAAATCAAGATTTAAAAAATTTTCAAAAATTGTAAGACATTTACACTCAAAAAAAAAAAAAAAAAAAAAAAAAAAAAAAAAAAAGGTAGTGGGGCTTCCAGGCACTCTGTGCCTTCTAGCCCTGAAGATGTTTAGTATAATTGAAGTTTTATTCGGAAAATTGTTAGTCTTCGGGTGTGAATTCGGAGGACTCTTCTTGATTGAGTCTTTGGTTCATCTTCTTGAGTAGAGTCTTCTTCTTCAACATCAAAGCCATCTGGTATCGAACTGAATGTATGAAAGCCAAATGTTGTATGTGTTTTCCAATTGGCTTTCAAACTTGAGATACATTCCATGCATGAGTGTTATTTCAGTTTCAACGTAGAGTTGCTGACGTGGCTTGAAACATGCATGAGAATTGGTCTCCAAATTCGTCCTTGAAAAATTTGCAGTAGCAACATAAACTGAGATAGAGTCTCCTTCTTCAATGTCTTCTGCTTGGTTAACGAAATGAATAGCAATTTTGCGTACTTGAATTGTGTTGTTGTCTGAGTAAAATAATGGTTTGAACTTGGGGTTGAGTGAGCTAAGACATTGCCATTTTGCTGTTTCTTGTCCGTACTCACGTTTTTCTTCGTCATCCTGATATCCATAACTCTTTAATTTTGAATTCGACCCAAAACTGTTCGACTTTTTTTGCAGCTTTGGGTGGAAGACTTCAATAAGCTGACATATAGTTCTGTCAACCATTATCTTTGTAATTGTTGGAAAATAGTTGACAATTGTGTCACCTAATTCGAATGGGTCAGTGTTTCTTTTTGTAGTTTGGTAAAGCTCTCAAGAACTTTGTTGAGTTGTTCACAATATTCTTTGTTAAAAGTTGCAGCAACTCTTTCTTCTGGCTTTGAATTGAAGTATTCTTCAGACAATCTGAGTAGTATTTGCGTAGTTCAGCGTTGCTTGTGTTCTTTGTAATACGGAGCTCGTTTGGTATTGTTTTGGTAGTGAAAGTGGCTTTGGATGAGCGAATTGCAGGACAAAATTGAATTTGAATTGTCTGTTCTGCTTGGAGAATGTGTAGATGCTGCAGTTTGATATTGAGGCTCTAAACCTGTGGGTGCTGAAAGTTTGCAAGCAATTTCTTCAGGTGAATTTGGAGCGAACACGCTAGCGAATGCCATTAGACAAAAAATAAACTGTTTTTTTCGGACTACTCATAGAAAAGTTTGAAATAAACCGTTTTTACCAACGGAGACCCCCTCTATTTTTTATTTTATTTAATAGTTACCGTTGGAAAACGTTCCATCTCAAATATTGAATGAACTATACCGTTTTTTGTTTTCTATATATACTTTTTTGTCCAACGGTAAAACTTTTTACACAACGGTTTTTGAGAGTCGTCGCTATTGACTTTTTTTGTAGAGCACTCAAAATAGTATAACTTTGTCCGGACAAGTAAGGGTCTATCGTCGCTACAGGAAAAGTTACAGGCGTTCCAAGGAAGTATACTTTGAGAAGCCTTTTTCCTTATAGAATGAGATAGGACGGTTATTTTACAAAACTGACAACACTTTGACCGAGTAGTTTTTTGTGCTGAAACAAAAGTGTCATATAAACATCTGTCAAAAACCGTTTTTTACTTCACTTAAAATGCCACGTAAGCTACGTAAGAATATACGTAAAGGAAGAGAAGCATTGAAACATCCAATAGTAAAACTAACACCACAACAACAGTTGCAACAACAAATTATGAATGACCCACTATGTTGCAACAAATGTCAAGCAACCCTATGCTTTTAAACCGAGTTATTGTGCACAGAGTGGAGGTTTAAGAGCGGCACTTTAGCGAAAATGGCAGGCTATGGTGGAGCTGCAGACGGAACAGCAATAACCCTCAAAGTCAAATGAATTTGAGTTCACTCAAAAATCAAATAACAGATGTCAAAAAGTCAAACATAGACATACAGAAGCAAATAAGTGAAAACGAAAAAGAAACTAGAATATGACAGACACACAAAGAAACTCAATGAGTTAAACGTAGAGAAAAAGAAGAAAAAGAACAACTGAAAGAACTAAGTACAGAGGAATATGCAAAAAAAGTGCAGAAAAAGCAGCAGAAGTAGCAAAAATGGAACAAGATGTTGTAAATTTGAAAAACCATACTACTAATATAAAGTACTGAAAGATGAAGAGAATAACAAAAGCCCTGAAGACATTATGTGTAGCGATGATAAAAAAAAAGAAGTTGAAGCAAATGTAAGGCAGAAAAACTTTTACAGTTGCAAAACCAAACCGTACAGTATGAAAACTTAGCACAAGAAAGTAAAAATAACGACGCAGCCATGCAAAAGGCAATGAAAAGCGCAGAAATATATAAAAAGCTAACAATGACTGGTTAGATGCCCAAGCCAACGCTAAAGCAGCCCAGCTTATAGGGTCAATAAGGACAAAAATACAAGCGGATGAAGATAGTTCAAATGAAGCTTTAACAAATGCTGACTTTAAGAAACGCTTTCGAAGCTCTTCATAGTAAGGTGAAACAAGTGAACGACTTCTCATCTGGAAAGAAACTGAAGTCTGAAGGTTTCGACAAAGAGTTAAGAGAAGTAGCAACAAAATATGACGAAAATAACAGATGCAGCAACGAGACAGGCAGTTCAAAGTGCCTATGACGCCGTTAGAGCAACTGTTGTGGAAAGTCAAGAAAAAGAGTTACAACAGACCAAAACAGACCTAGTAAATGCTTTCTTAAGAACGAAAAGTCAGGTAGGCACTTACGCTGCAGATGGAACATATGTGCCAGCTGGTGGAACTTATATACCACCAAACCTCCAGAGAAAGCACCTGCACCAGGACTACCTAGAAACATTTACATCGTCACATGGACACAGACACAGGCATGCACCAAAACCAACACAA